GGAGGAGGATCTGCCTGACCTGTCAAACATGCAGGTCTTGCTGCCACAAAGTGACAGTCACGTACCAGAATGCTAGCAACTGTGGGACATTATACCAACACCATACCATTGGGTGGAGGGGAGGGGGGGGCTGGCCAGCTGCACCATATATAAGCCCCTTTGTGCCGCGATTTACTTGGGCCGTCAGGGGGTTCGCCCAAGTCCGGATTCAAACTGCGAACCCTACAGTTCAAGGGTTTCAGGCTTGTACCCCTACGGTTGTACCCCTGCGTTTTGGGATCCGTTTAAAGGGCCCAGGTACAACCCAGGCCCTTGAAAAGTATGAGCTTCTAACCGTTTACCATACTAAGGCGGGAGCTCACCCTCGAGCTGGGCCGGGATCTTGGACAAGTCAGCCAGCATCTCCTCATCACAAAAGAAAAGAGGTTCCGGAAAAGACTGGGTTGCTGTTGAGGAAGTTAATTTGAGTTCCTGTAGTGGGGAAACCCTATTATTCACTATATATATATATACCCATTATGGTAAGTTAGTTTAAGTTCCAAAACAGCAACCCAGAAGAAGGATGTCCATCGTATATCGCGTAACATGACTGAGGGTCCGTGTCATAGGGTCCCACATTAAAAGGGACCGACTATGGTAGAAACTCAAGTTGATTGGAAGCTTTTGTTTATGAAGACTGGCCTCACGGCCAAGGGCTGCAATATAAACGGGATCTTGAACGGAGAAAAAAAAGTTTGCGCGGGCGATTACACCACTAAAAATTCTCCAAGACAGCACGTGAAGGATATTGATGCAGACGGCATACGCAAGAGAATTGAAGCGCTCCGATGCTATGCATTAGGTTGACCTCCCTCCCAGTACCAGTGCAAACAAGGGATAATAATGATTCTACTAGGGTCCTCTTATAATCTTATGATATCACTATTACACACTGGGGGCCCACCTAAGCTATGCACTTTGGTATCCTCGTCCAGAGGCGGCAAAGGAGTGTCGGAGTGCGCTGACATCACCTGTATAGGCCGCGTACTGATGGGTAGAGGGGCCAATCAAAAGCCTCTAGGCATGCCTAAACAAAGGGTTCTGTATTGGTTCGGAGGAGGGTTACTCTAAAGACCCAAACCCTAAACCCAGTTTAGGGTTAAAGAGATTTGAAGGGTTCCATAAATTAGGGGTCCCTTTTAGGGGGTCCCACTACTAAGGATTGTAGTATAGTTGGGTTGATAATAGGGGTTTCCTATTTAGGGAACTACCATTTTGTGCGACCTAAAGGCAAGTCTCCTCAGCGATGGGTTTAGGGTTTATGGTTTTAGGGTTTAGGGGTTTAGGGTCTAGGCAGCACAGCATCCAAAATGCAACCTTACCTCCTTCGGACTTCACTGTTTCAGTGATGTTTAAGGCTTTTCCGGCAGCCATGCGCTTCCGACCGTCTGTTGGAAAGTCTTATAAGTGTTGGGCTTGCGCGCAGGCGCGGCAAGATGTTTAGGGTTTAAGATTTTGGTTAGGGTTTGTTTTAGCGTGTAGGACTTAGAGTTTACTATTTCATTGCATGCTGAATCAATTGTTTTGTAAATTTTGTTGTGAGAGGTGCCAAGCCAGGCACCATTCTTACCGGGATCTACAATGCCCTCCTGCTCCAACAGCATGTTTATTTGGGGGGTTCCAAAGGGTCTAGGATTATATAGGTTTGGGGATTATACTGCGGTGTTATAGGGGTGTTACCCCAAATATGGAAAATCAGATGGAAAGGAAACTGAAAAAATCTAGGGGTAGCATTTCCCAGGGGTACCTCTTGTAGGTCCCTCTTGGTCTCTGTACGGGGTCCCACCTACTTGTTGGAAACTACCATATTGGGACCCGCTTTTTGCACTCGATCATCGCAAGTCCCATACCTTGGGTACTGCTCCCCTCAGTAATAGTTGGATAATGAATATTATATGGCTATATATAGCCCTTAATAGCCCTAATATAGACTGTTACTGGGGGGGGGCAGTACCCAACCCATACCATACCCCCAAACTCCATGTTTCAAAGCCCTTGCATACTCACCTGATGCACCTCGCAGTCTAGGTAAACCCTCAGTGGCCCTAAACCCCAAACCCTAAACCCTAAACCCTAGACCTTAAACCCTAAACCCCAAACCCGAACCTTAAACCGTAAGTCCCAAACCGTAAACCCTAAACCCCAAACCTTAAACTCGAGACCCTAAACTGCGATACACCTTGAAGATCTCCTTCACGACATCGGCCTTTCAGCCAACAGAGACTATGCGGGAGGATTTCTCGAGAACGGGCTCCAATACTGCAGTTTGGGGGGGTTCCCGAAGTTAGGGTTACCTTTATGGGGTTCCTACAACAAGGACTATAGTATATTGGGATACATATAAGGATACAGGTACCCTAATTTGGGGGAAACCACCGTTTGCTGCCGGCTTTGAAAGGCTTATAAGATTGAAAACAATTTTGCAGTTTGATGGTGCATGGGTGTGGTTATCAGGGGGCCCCACATCACTGGAAACCCTACTCGACACAAGCCACATGCAAAATGTGGGATGCCATTGCGAGACCCTTTCCTACAAGCCGATACCAAGCTCGAATCAAACCTGAAATCCCCAAAGACAGCAATTCCCCGTTCAAAGGGTGTCTGTGGGGCTCAATGCTTTGAGATGCAGAAGAGAACACTATGAAGGGATGACTGCTCCAGGGACTCACTTGCGGCCCACAACCCTGAACCCAAAGCCGCGAACCACGACACGAAACTCCTGCTGCCGCTTCCAGACACAAGCGTAATCCTTATCCTCAAGACGACCCTATGCGGATGGATTCCCCGTTTGACCACCACGAGCCGCACATGGTGCTTGCGGGATCACTATAAAACCAGAATGAAGCCCTGCACCCTATGCAGCATCAAAACCATTGTATATCCCCCTTCCCACTACTGCTATGTAATCCATAGTCTAAACTCCTAGCATCCCACTTAATAACCCCTATAGTAGTCTCCTATATAACCCCCTTCTGGGTTTGGATTATGGTCGCTTCCATAGGGGGGCCCAGATATAGACCCCAACATACCACAATCCTTAATATAGGGACCACGAAAATGGTACCCTTGTTTTTGGGAAACCCGAGACCCTGTATAACCCCATATAACTTCTAGGTACGGGAAACCCCATATGAGCTATAGTCTAAACTCCTAGTATCCCCCTTAGTAAGCCCTATACTAGTCCCCTACATAATTCCCTATATAACCCCCTTTAAGGAGTTTAGACCCTAAACCCTAAACCCTACAGCTCATATGACTCGCGGTACCCCTAGCTATACACGCTCGAGGCCTTGGTCTTGCCGGCGCTGGCCTTCTGAGAGCGGAAGAATGCCTTGAGATTCTCGACCTGCAAGGTTGCGACGCGTTTAGGTAGGGTTTAGGGTTTAGGGTTTGGGGTCTACCTGGGAAAATCCCCTTTGAATCCCGACGTATCCCTAGGTGACCCACAGTCTAGGGTGTAGGTTTAGGTGCGGGCTTTGGGGAAGAAGGATTGTATGGGATCTTTGCACTTTGCAGGGCGGAAGGCATAGCCAGATTCCTACTGGGCCTTCATGGAGGCGTGTGGGGAACATGTAGGATGTATCTCCAGAGCACATGAGGAGTCAGGCGCGGTGAGGTTTCGTCTAGGATGTGCGCCAGGTTGAGGGCTTGGCATTGGGAAGGGGATGCCTGGGATTCATGATATATTTCAGCTATAATCTAAACGACTAGCATCCCCCTGAATAACCCCTATAGTACTCCCCTATAAACCCCCCTGTATAACCATCATTACGGAGTTTAGACCCGAAACCCCAAACCTTAAACTCTAAACCCTATATAACTCCCCTTTAAGGAGTTTAGACTATGGCTCATATACATTGTAGTTTGCCGTAATAGGGGAACTCATATAGACCCCAAAATGCTATAGTCCATATCATTGGGACCCCCAAACAGGTACCCCTTTTTCTGGGAAACCCCCATATATGGTGCAGGTGACTGGCATTAGAAGCCTTCATGGACCCCGAGATTTTAGGGTTTAGGGGGGCAGGGTTTAGGTTTTAAGGCTCTCATTCCTTGAGGGGCTGAAGTATTCACATACATGACAAACAAGAATCCCCTTGCGACTCCCCCCTAGCTCCGTATATGCTCCCTGACAAGCTCTACAATTCATCAGCAGAAGCCCAAGCCCAGAGTCATAATTCCTAAACCATGTTGCAACAGGCTTGCATGCGTCGTCGCCTGGAAGTGCTCGTGCTCCGCGCAGAACCCTGAACCCTAAACCCGACGCCCTGAAAGACACCGCAAACCCAACTCCAAAACCCGAAGCCCCCCACTCAATCATGAAGAATTAATGTTTATCGGTTTTGGGGTTGAAGGCTAAGGGTTTTCAGTCATGCAGAACACGATCTTGCCTAGATACATCACTCTACAGCCCTGTATATCCTGACAATGACTGAGGTCGTACTTTCCTACATACCACTCTAGTATATGCCCCTACATCCCTACCTACCCCACAGGACCTATAGTATGACTCCTAGCATCCCACTTAATATCCCATATAATACTCCCCCACATAATCCCCTGTATTCCCCCCTTTAGGGAGTTTAGACTATAGCTCATATACCCCTACATCCCTACGTGCCCCTACATATCCACCCTAAACCCTAAACCCTAAACCCTGAACCCAAATCCTAAACCCTAAACCCTAAATCCCAAACCCTAAACCCTACGCATCCCACTATATCCCGAGGCACCTTCTTCTCGTTGGCCTCCCTGGCCTGACGCAATTCAGGACGTTGGTGCTTGTTTTAGGGATGTATTGGGTCATTCCCTATCCCAGCAACTGTCCCTCAAGGGGCCTTATTAAGGGGGTTCTTATAACTCCTATAACCCATTGTGGTAGCAGTTACTGTCAGGGGGAATGACCCCAGGGATGTAAGAGTTGATAGGGTTTTGGGGTTTAGGGTTTTGCGGTTTCGGGTTTAGGATTTTTTGGTGGGTTTAGGGTCTAGGGTTTAGGGTTTTGGGGTTTAGGTTTCGGTTGCATGGGGAAATACAGGAAGATGAAAGGGAATGGAAAGGAAATGGAAAGTCCGACATTGTTTGGCAGTTTCCCAAAACAGGGGGACCCCAACATGGACCTCAACATACTATAATCCTCAACACAAGGACCCCCAAAAAAGTACCCCGCAACCCCCATTTAGGGTAACGTGTTTAGGGATGTACGGCTGAGGGTTTAAAGATTCAGGGCCAGTGGCGAGGCGCTTCTGGTTCTTTTTTCTGACTCCTGATTAGGATACTAATAAACTTCAAAATCAATGGCAAACAGAAAAGACAATGAAATGGAAACTGGTGCTTTATAGGACAAAATCAAGCTTGTGGATACTTGCGGTTCAGCGTATCAGCTGTAAGCGCGCGAGTGTGATTCTCAAAATCATGGGCCTGTGCTGGAGTCCATAAATATGTGGCGGGATCGAGGCAGGATATCCGAATGAACGGCTTAAGCTTACGTAAATTGCGAGCAATCCAGCCGGGCATGGTAAACCCCACACTCACATGCAAATCGGACAAAAGAATTTCCACGTAACCATATCCTGCCCAGGAGCCTCCCAGTAAGGTGGCAAGAGCTCCTCCATGTACCTGAGTTTAGTGTTCGGGGTTAGGCTTACCACGCTACTATGCAATGTTGACATTTGCGGACAAGGATTTGGCGTGCTTGCCTGCAAAGTCCAAAGGGGTGAACATGAGTTGAAAATGCTACAGTCCTCAACTTTGCTCTCTTTCTTGCCGGGATTCCGTGCGTATAGTATTAAGCTTGCCAAATGAGGTGGTTCTTCGAATATGTGATGCCTGGTATACCCCAGAAAGTAAGGATCCGTCTCAGCGTGACCTAAATGATCACAAGTTTGGAAAACCTCCCTCAACCGCTATAAATCCCTTTTCGAACAAAGTTTTACTGCACATGAAGGAAAGCCTTTTCCACCCTGACCCGCTCGGTCTCTGAACATTAGTGTCGCTTAGGTAGAATGAACGCCACAAACCCTAACCCTAATCCCGTGACCCCTAACCCGTGAATCCCCAACCGAAATCTTACAGGGTCATAGTAGGCAATAACGGAATATAGTCCTTATATAATCCTTATATAATGCATTTATTCCCTTATTCCTTTCTAAGAACCAGCAAGCAATACTTTGGGTACTGCCCCTACACTGGAGCAGTTTATATTAGAGGTCATATTAATGATGTATGAATATAGTATTATAAATATTATCCAGCTGTTACAGTGTGGGGGCAGTACCCAATTAATACTGGTTTGAGATGCTTCAGGAGCTCCTCTGGGGCGGTCCTGCGCTTGCGAGGGTCGCACTGTCGCCCGTGGAAAACTGGCTGGGCTTCATGTTAATTTGGAATCGAAAAGTCTAGGTTTTAGGATTTACCTAAACCCTAAAACCTAATTAGCCAGTCAGACCCAAAAACCCCTTAACCCTAACCCCAAGACCCTAAACCACCCTGAATGCTCAACCGCGAGACTTGTCCTGGGCGTTGGCGTTTTCAGCCTGAAGCCTTTGAAGCTTAGGGTTCAGGGTTTAGGGAGAATGGAAGATAAAATGGAAACTACACTTTTGTAATTGGGGGCTTTACACGCGTCGTATAGAAGTTACCGATACTGGAGAATCAAAGGGAAAAGACAATGCCATTGCAACTGGGGGCGTACAGGAATTCTAGACTCAGGGCAGCACACCACCTTAAACCCTACAACCTAAACCCGTTTTGAACCCAGACTCGTGATGCTAGCTGGCTCAACAGGACTCCACTATACAAGCCCTGCAACCTAAACCCTAAATCCTAGACCCCAAAACCCTAAACCCCAAACCCTAAGCGCAAGGTCCTGGTCTTAAACTCCTTGGTTTCGGCCTCGGAATGATTTGCTCCGAACTCCGCGATTTCCTGCCAGCTCAGCCCAGCTGAGTAGCGTTTTTTTGGTGGTTGAACCTGGTAACATAGGGATAATGGAAAAGAAAATGGAAACTACTATATTATTATAGGGTATACATTGGGGTTATATTCTTGAATACTGTTTTTTTTGGTGGTTGAACCTAGTAAGATAATATTCCTTATATAAAATACTATACCCCAAAAGGAGGATATAATCTTACTCTATATTGGGTACAATAGTATCCCCAAATAAAATACTACTCATCTGAAAATCTGCTATGGGCCAGATTAACTCGATCTTCTTGCTTTGACAAAGGGACGCAGGGCTTGGCGTTTTGGGGTAAGGTGCTGCCCT